AAGGGAGCTTATTTGCATCGGGGTACCCCTTTAAATAAGGGGGCACCCAGATGCCGCCCCCCCCATGTGAATGAGTAAACGGTACTTGTACCCCTACCCATTCACTAAAGGGTTAAATCAAATAGTTAGTAAAAAGTCCAGACTTTTGACAAAATCCTTTAATTGAAAAAAAAACAAACAGCCAATTTTTTACTATTCCTTTAATAAATAATAATAAAAAAAATGGCTCCATCGATGTAATCCAGAGTCAGGATCAGGATGCAGGACCCCCGCCGACCCACCGAAATAAAAAAAGTCCCGCCGCAGACGACCACCCGACGAAAACCAGAAGAAAAAAAAATGACATTCAGTCTTTCAACAGATGGGCAGAACGAGCCATGACGTCACGGCTCGCACCGCCCATTTGACAGTCTCAGCTATCAAATGCTACATATTGCATTCATATATATCAAATGCTTCTATACTTACAGTACAGAGGCTATAGAGTAGTGGTTAAAGCACAGGCTTGCCATAGCTAAGGTTGCAGATTCGATTCCAGGGCAAGTCAGGTAATATTACAAAAAATTTATTTTTCCCATAAACGAATTTCGTCAGAAACTAATTTAATTTCGGACCCGAAACTAAACTAAACAAATTTTTTTTTGTTTTGTTTCAAAACGAAACTAAACTAAACTAATTTTTTTTTTTCAAAACTAAACTAAACTAAACTAATTTTTTTGCTGGTGCACATGTCTAGAGGACAAGTGTTTTACCTCCCAAGAAGGCTCCATTTAATGTACGTCCAGTTAGCAGCCACATAACATCTATGACAAGCCTGTCCGTGTATTTGGGAACTCCAATGATATTAGCAGATCCATAGGAATAGTGAGTGGACTGAATCATGGATGCCTAAAAAACAAGTTTCTCAGTTAATTACACTCTTTATTAATTATTTATTTAGCAATTGTTCATAATGATTCGTTTAGTTTAGTTCGTTTAAGTTTATTCTGCTTATATTTTGCCTTCCCTGGTTCCTTACCCCCACCAACAACATACTAATGACATTTTTCAAATAAAGCTTTTCTGTTTTCATTACATAGCTCATTTTAGACCCTTTGACATGATCACTGGGTTTAGGTGCTTTTCTATAAAAAAAAAGGCAGGCAGATCATGGCAAGCGTATTTTATGAAATACGCTTGAGTTTATAAATATGAGACAACTAGTCTGAAAAGCCTAAAATGTGACGTTGTGCTGCATTTACCCAAATTGTCTGAATATTAAATTGAGACTTGCAGTTGGAATTCCCACTCTATACATTCATGGAGGAGAGGGTGAGGTACAGAAGAAAGAGAGAACTCTCAGGGTAGGTCTTCCAAGAAGTCCAAACAATGCACATTATGAAGTAAATCCATCTGAAGCCTGTAGGATCTGAAAAGCGCTATTAATGGCCTTTTTGTATGACTTTTACACACTTTTACCAGCTAAATCGGCTTGTTTGCTTGTCTGTTATTCTGTAATTCCTTGTTAATTGCTCCCTCCCCAACAGCACATATTTATCTTCACAGTCCCCCATCGCTCCATTTAGCCATCAGGAATGAAGCTGATACCAGATAATTCCAGGTATGGAGGAGCAGGTAACTCACTCCCCTTCCGTTCATATGACAGTGCTGGTGCATGGTGAATAGCTCAGTGCTGTCACATGAGAGTCAGCCCTCAGATCAGTGTGAGCTCCAGTTAGAGTCAGAGCTTGCGTAAAGCTTCCTTTCCTTTTCCCTGGTGTCTGAATAAAATGGTTGGGGAGTGGAAGGAATGTAAGTGTATACTGCTAGAGAAGGAAGAATTCAAAGTGAACTTGTGCATTGCCCTGCACAAGCAAAACACAGGTGCAGTTTAAATGGTCAGTCATCCAAAACTGATATTTCAGAGTAAAGTCCCCCAATGGATTCCTATTTTATGGGTCTCTGTTGTATAGATTCTGAGGTTTGTACTTATGCCACGGCAATTGTAAGAGGTACTGCCTGACCTAATGTTTTTTTTTAATATTTTGGAGAGTACAGTAGCAGATGTTCAAAAAACCTCAGTGTATGAGGACACCCAAAACTCCAAGATATAGGGGTTGATCCTGAAACTATGGTAAGATTTATCCCCATCAGAAGGAGACTGAGCCCACCATAGTCTGCCTATAAGTTAGCTGACCCTTTATTATAACCTAACATAAAACAAATGTACATATATGCTTAAAAATGTGACTCCTATAGTAATTCCCATTATAATTTATGGAATCTGGTCATTCTACACCATTTATATTTTGTCAAGTGAGCTTAATATAAACATATGTAAACATATTGAACATATACTGTGTATTACAAGGTGCCAATGGCAATTTACAGTTGACATAATGTTAGGTTTATTGTTAGGTTATGGGCCAATTCTCTAGAGGCACCTGGCTTCCTCTGCAATAATTTCACTATAGGACCTTGCAGTTGTCATGTAATACGCTTTATTTAGCCTAAAATACCCAATTACTAGGTTATGTTTATCTTCATACCAAATATCCTAAATTCTATACAGATACAGGAATGACAGACTAAAATATCTTTATTTTTATCTCTTACCATAACATCAACTTTTCCAATGCATTCAAATCCATAGTCTGCTCCTCCATCAGTCATTGCCACAATAACTTCGTGGATTGGTTTGTCACAGTCATTTGGATTGATACATTCAGTGCATCCTAATTCTTTAGCTCTGGGAAATTTGGTTGGGTTGATGTCTACGCCAATAATCCTGGCAGCACCAGAAACCTTGCAACCCATGACAGCAGACATTCCAATTCCACCCAAACCAAACACAACACATGTGGTCCCTGGTTTCACCTAGGAAGAAACGCAACCAGCAAAATGTTACTATGGTACTGTATAAGGATTATACTCTGATATGTAGATCTTATTTATAATAGCTACGGCTATTCAATAAATTAGAAAGTACACTTTGCAAAGTCCTACTATCTGAAAAGTATGTGTTTTATCAATGGATGTGAAATCATCAGATCTCTACACGTAAGAATTTAGAATTTTTACAGACATACACAATTTAGTTGAACAGAATAATCCACAAGGCAAGCTTGGGAGGCTGGTGGATGTCCAAAGGGCACCAACTACATATACATCTTTATGCTCCTGCGTTAAACCAAGAGATTAGTACATTGGTCAAAGTTATGAACCGGCCTGTTACTGCACAATGGAGGTTACACGTGTAGGAAGATGGTGTCTAAGGACACCATGCCAGTACAGACAATGCAAGTGTGGAAGTTTTTCTGTGACTATTGCAACCTTAATTAATGCTAATTGATTGAGTTGGAAAGAAAAGGGGTGGTAATCAATGCTGCTACCTTGCTAAGGTCCCATTCTGCCTTAATCCATCTATACAGTTACCACTTTATAGAATGTGGAAATTGAACATAGAATGTGTGATTTCTGTAATCATTTTAAATAATATAAAATATTATAATATTCTTAAGAGTCTGAGTTCTATCAAGAAATACAAAAACAAGAAACTGGTAAACCCAATGTACAGGGCAAGGTTATGTCTGAAAAGTATGCATGCTGTTTTTATGAACATATACTATATATTGTTGAATGCAAAGAAAATGTACTTTAAACTCTAGCTTCTTCTTCAAAGTGGAGTACAATTTAAGGACTACTATTTTCCCCCTGCATCCCTAAAACAAAATAGGACACCCTGATTTTAATATTATTTCAATTTTCAACAAAATACACAGCTTGTAGCAAGCTATCAGAAATTAGATTTTATTAATCTGCGAAAGGTTAAAGGTTGATTTGAGGTTAACTGAATATGGTCTTTGCTGATATTTGTAAAATGTTATTTTATATATTGTCATGCTCTGATATTTTCCTTTAACCTCCTGAAGGTAACTGAAGTGTTGATGATTATAAAATATTTCATAACATGTCGATGTGTAATATGTAATATGGGATAATTTTAGTCAAACTTACTTTGGCGGTGTTAATTACTGTTCCGTAGCCAGTGGAAAAGCCACATCCAATAAGGCACACTTCATCCAAATTTGCTTTAGGATCAATCTTAACACATGCAAATTCATCCACACAGGTGTATTCTGTAAATGTACTGCAGGACATGAAGTTGTAGATCTGTTTTCCATTTCGGGAAAATCGGGTGGTTTTGTCACGCATAAGCCCTTTGTTTTTGCCAACACTGTAATAAAAAACATTTAATAATGGTTTTATCACAATATTTAACTAACTTGTATACAGCTTATAATATAATAGAATGAAAAGAATATAATTATTTGAGTAGCTGCCTTCCTTTTTGTTATCACTAGACTGTTATTGAACTATTGCTAGTGTGTCTACAGGTGACACTTTTAACTAAGATAATAGGAAAGCCTACAATGGCCTGGTAGAAACAGAATGTCTATTGGAAATAAGGACAATGTCATGTAGACAAGCCATATTTCCCTAGTTTAACCACTCATTTTGGAGAATGTTTCGTACTGCTGTTAGGTTAAGAGGACTACACCACTTGGTCTTAAACTGACATTAAACCCTCAGATTTTTTAACATAAAACAATACTGTAATGTGCGCCTTACTGTAATCCATGGTTGTTTCCCTTCTCTTTGCTGCTCTTCCTTTTAAATCTGTATCTGTTCTCATGCTCTGCAGAACTTCTGTTTTGCAGCAGACTGCCTTGTCTCTGGAATAGATACATGATGTCTGTGTGTACGTTGCAACCTGAGCCAGCACTACAGGAAGAGGCACTGAGCTGAAAAGGGAAGTTCTCCCCAAGCATGAGAAGACATGAGGATTTAAAAGGAAGAGCAGCAAAGAGAAGGGAAACTACCATGGATTACAGTACGGCACACATTACAGTATTGTTTTATGTTAAAAAATCTGAGGGTTTAATGTCACTTTAATTAATATGATATGGGCCATCATTGCAGTGATTAGATATGATCAGGTAATACGACACTTTCGGTGACTAATATCTGTTTTTGTGCCTGCCCTATCGGTAAATAATACAACCTCTGGGCAAAATCTCATAGATGGACAGTGGCCCAAAAATAATTATTCCCCAATTGCGACTAACCATGGCTCACTGAGTCTCCATTCTCACAGGAGCGGTTGTCCGTGTGTATTCAGCCGTATGACATGCGCAGAAGCGCTCTAAACATAAAAAACAATGCACTTTAATGTGCAATGTTCAGACTTTTGTGGCAGCCTCGCAGTTCTGTACCTGTGGAATCTGTGCAGGTTAAAAATGTTTGCATTTTTGTGCCCCGCGTTTTCTTTGTGCAGAAAACCATGCAGGAAATTCAAACGCTATATGTGAATGGAGCCTTAAGCTGCAATCTCTTTATTAGAAACAATGTTTTTCTTTTTCTGCATAGGCTCTCATTTGTCCAGGTCTTGGTATAGCTAGTAGCAGTTAGTAGTAGTAATTTATTAGCTGATTCAAGTTGCTTCTTCAGTTTAGATGAGTGTCAGGAACATAATTAAAGGTTTGGCATATGTTGATCAACATATAATTAAAAAGTAAACGCATACAAATGTAAGAACTTAATGTTCTGAATGTCAAGGTGAAGAGTTTATATTCATTGATCTTGAGCTTAACTGTGTATCTCCAGAATGAAGAAAGATAGAAATAAAAAACCTTACTCATTGTCTACACAGAAGTTGCTCTCTTCATGCAGGCAGCATTTACACTTCATACACATGGGGCTACACAATGCAATGACATGATCTCCTGTAAAAAGCAAAATAAAAAGCAAAATGAAAGAAAGCCAGAAAGGATCATCTTTCTCAGAAAACAAAATCCCAGAGTGTTGAGAATTTTCAGTATTGGTCCCAATCTGTTCTTGGGACAGCCAAAAGCCTTCCATACTGTGTTGCCACAACAGTTCAAGTTTGGCAAACGCATTTGGTATCATTAGCTAATTGCAGTTACCTGGTTTAACCTTTGTTACTCCTTGTCCAACACTCTCAACAACTCCAGCTCCCTCATGGCCCAAAATAACAGGAAAATTTAGGCTGGCCATTCCACCTACGAGGGCATGGTCATCAGTGTGGCAGATTCCACTGGCACAGATCTGAGAAATAAAACACAGCTATAGGAAACATTGTCCATATATTACATACTTACATTGTATACAATGTTTGTGACAGTGATTATGAAACTGTTTCCTAATTTTTGCATTTACAGCAATAAATGGACATTCAGTTAAACATTTTGCATTCAAACTCTTTGGATGGGTCTAAATTTTGTCTCATCACAGCCAGCCCTGCAGTTGTTCCTGTTTTCTGACTGGCTCTAAACCTATAAAAGTGGACCAAAATTCTTCCTGGTTCTTGGACAGGAAGAAGACACAACAAGGATTCATGTGACCTGAGGTTTCACTCTCACCCATTAGCATTAATAAAAGTCTGCCAAATCTGTCATAAAGAACTATATCATTTTCAGATGAACGCCAATCTCCAGTCAAAACGTTTTTTTTTAGTTTTGAACAGAGTGCGAAGGATTAAAACCTCTATCATGTTTTTATTTGCAGGGACGTGGTATGCAAGGAGGAAAGCACCAAAAGTAGATCATATACAGTTCAGATTCAATTTTATTCAGACTCTTATGTCATAAGGTCAAAAGGTCCCCCTTTATTAGGGGTTGGCACTTTTGAACAAAGTGTGTACTGCACTGATATAATTGGTAGAATTCTGAAGGGTAATTAATATGATTGTTTCACATGCAGGTAAGCCCCTTTCCCCTATTTTACCTCGTGAAGGAGGACCCTTTGAACTTCGAGCATGTTGGCTTTTTATGACATAAGAATCTGAATAAAATTGAATCTGGACTTTATACGTTCTCTTTTCAGCACTTTCCCCTGGTGCCTACTCGAGTAATGAGCCACCCTCTTGGGAGAACTGCCTAAGGAGCATCATTACCTCTAGACTGCTTAAGACCTGACTAAGAACATCTACTGCTTTAAAGTGTATGTGAAGCAAATTGTTTCCCCTCATTCAGGAATCTTGAGCCAGCATTTATTAAGAAAATAATCTTTGTTTTAATTTTGAAAGATTGAAAGCTAATACCTTTTTTGATGATTTTATTAGCAGTCATATGATTACTATATTGCTTTTCCCTGTGTCTAGGGTTGAGGGCAGGTGGAAGCTGTAAGAAATGGGGACTGCCTGGGACATCACTGCTGGCTCCAGGACTTCATGTCCCATACATCCCTCCCTTATGCCTGTTTACACTGCTAGTACAGTGCTCCAAGTATCAAGAAGTATTTACCCTTCTTTTTGTGTTTATGTATATCCACTACTTCTACACAGTTTTTTTTTCACTAATTCTGCCTGATAGAAACTGCGCCAGTCATCTAAACTGAGAAGTGCCTTCAATTAGGTACTTATTAAAGCGGGCTGAAAATGGAACCTTCTGGACAGTCCACATTTTTTAAATATCTACTGCACATGTCTGTCAATTCTACCATGGGTATGAACCCATTGGAAGGATATCCAGGTATGTGCCAGTCACATTGCATACATGCTGAAGCTTAAAAATGGGTTTGCAATTGATTGAAGTTATATTCGTTTTTAGGTTCAGATACACTTTCTAGCACTAAACCCAGTGTTTTTATTTGCAGTCTTTGTCCCCACTGAGGAGATTTCCTCTTGCTTTAGTGGAGTCAGGCCCAGCACTACCGCAAGGCAAATCAAGCGGCCGCCTGAGGGCGCTGAAGGGGTGAGGGCGGAAAAAACAGGGCATTTTGACAAGTACTTGTACTTGTCAAAATGCCCCGATGCTTGCGCTATGTTTTTTTTTCACTTACCTTCGGTGCGGGAGAGCAGCGGCGAGTCAGCGCTTGTCTGGTGGGAGGAGCTCCAGGTGGGTCCTAATTTAGCTGGGCGGCGCGACTGCCAGAGTATCCCGACAGCTGGCCGGTGACTGCCCAGAGGTGCCGCGCGTGTTGGGATCCTCTGGCAGCCACAACCAGCTAAATTAGGACCCCACCTGTAGCTCCTCCCACCGGACCAGCGCTGACTCGCCGCTGCTCTCCAGCACAGCACTGACTACAACCTCAACCTGTGCAAAAATGCACCTTTGCCTGCGTAGGCAAAAATCCTTGCACCGGCACTGAGTGGAGTGTTGTTGTGCCCCCATAACCAGAGATACCATCTGGTAGAAAAATAAGAGGAATTGATTTATGGTGCCAAGCAGCACACATTTGAGCTTTGCCCATTAATCCTAATTTAAAAGGAAATTAGTTATTAACATTTGTTTGCAAAACATATTTCTGGTATAATTTACAATGGCATTTTCATTTTGTGTACATATGTGCTTTGATGGCTGAAATACTACAATCTACTACAGTGAAACACATCAGTGGGGTCATGTGTATGATTTTTTTTTGTATGGAACCCTTTTTAGTTGTATTTTTTTTTTATTTTTAGACATTTTACTTCTTTTTTTACTTTCTTTGATGCCATGACAGTTTTCAAACCATCTCATGGGGGTTTGACTGTAAGAATTATCAGTGCATGAAGATTTTTTTATTCATATATTTATTCACATATTTCTACAAAAAAAAAAAATCATGTTACCTTGATCCGAACTTCATGTGCTTTGGGTGGAGCAACCTCTATTTCTTCAATTTTAAATGGTTGATTGTGTCCATAAAGAACACCAGCTTTGCACTTGATAGGCTAAAACAAAGTATTACATTCATTTTGAGTATATTAACAAAAAAAAGTCAAACTATTATGCGTTCCTTTAACAAAAAAGGAAATTAGTGACTAAGAATTACCTATCTTACATCCTTACCCCAAGTCATTCAATTCCGAACCATTTTAGCTTATTGCATAATAGAGACAGTGTTTTATACAGCAAATATTTACTTTAGAAACTTTAAAGCATGAATAAATAAAAATAATTTCAAATATTTTGTTCTATCCATCCACACCTTAATACAAACAATAATTAATTAATTTGTATATGCCTTATCTTATTTAAATTGAAACACAAAATGTTGTTGGGAATGAGGGGAGATAGGTAACTGACATAGGGGTCTATTCACGAAGCAGCCGAAGGATCTAGCCGTCACTTCGGCCAATCCTTCGGCTAGCTTCGGCCCCAGGACCCCTTCGGTTCAGGGCTGCTGTACGGGCTATGCACAATAGCCCGTACAGCTCCCGAACTTGGTCGAGCCGAACGCATATGCCTCGGCTCGGCTGAGCCGCGCTGAAAGCCGAAGCTGGCTGAGCGGCCGGCCATTGGCTGACCGACAGCCTGCTTCTGACAGCTGGGCGGAGCCAGCCATGATCTTACGGCTGGCTCCGGCCACTTGCAGAGAGAACAGTGTCCCTGGTTACCAGCTAACCAGGGACACTGATCTCCAGACAGCAAACTCTCCCGGGCGCTCCGGGAGTCTCCCGCTCCCGGCCGCCAAGGAGAGAAACACTGCTTTTTCTTTTGTTTTCTTTATTCTGACACGGAGCCGTGTCAGAATAGAAAAAAATAAAATAATTTTTGACCATAGGAATGCATTGCTAGATTCCTATTGGCTATTTCAATTTGCAGTAGCCAATAGAAAACTAGCATTGCACCCGCCCTCTGCTGCGGTTCTCCATCAGGTCCACCACTACTGATTGACGGCAGCAGAGGGCGGGTACAATAGCTAGTTTGCTATTGGCTATTGCAAATTGAAATAGCCAATAGGAATCTAGCAATGCATTCCTATGGCCAAAAATTATAATTTTTTTCTATTCTGACACGGCTCCATGTCAGAATAAAGAAGAAAAAAAGAAAAAGCAGTGTTTCTCTCCTTGGCGGCCGGGGGCGGGAGACTCCCGGAGCGCCTGGGAGAGTTTTTTTTCTTCTTTTTTTTGACAGAAGCAGAACCCGCCGGCCAATAGAAAACAGCTGGGCGGAGCTAGCTGTCACTGCTAGCTCCGCACAATCGTTTTCTATTTATTTTTTTCTACTTTTTAAACTATTTTTCTGTTCTGTTAGGTACCACAGAGGGACCGAGCAGAACAGCCGAGCCGAGTGCCGCTCAGCGGCATTCGGCTATTCACTAACTGCTGTTCGGCATTTATAAGAATAGACCGAACAGGAGTGATTAGCCTGCTGGAGGTTCGGCTTAGCCGATCCAGATGTTGGATCGGCCGAGTCGAACTCCTTCTGCACTTCGGGTCGGCCGAACATGCTGAAGCCACCCGATGTACGGCTGATTTTAGCCGTACCAGCCTGAAGTGAATAGCTGAACAGCGTTCCGCTCACTTGGCTTTAGGTCGGTCATTCACTCTGCTGCCTACGGCAGCTCAGTGAATATACCATAGAGTTTGGCAGGGGCAGACATACCATTGTGCAGACTGTACATTTGCACAAAGGCCCTCTGGTATTCAGGCAGTTGCTGGGTCCCCGTCTGCAGTCACATACAGTAGATATGGACACTGCTTGCTTCTATGGTAGGAGGCATTCTTCATAATGTCCTAACCATGCTCCTAGTTTGTAATATCCAAAAAAGGTTGAGCCTTACTACCACTGAGACATTTAGAATACTATACCCATTTCATTTTCATACCTTTAGGGTAGGAGTTGAAAGGGGTGGTTTGCTGTCTGACTTCAATGTTGTACCATAAGAGAGTTCAGGCCATCACAGAGGCTAATCTTCAAATCTATCTATCTATCTATATCTATCTATCTATCTATCTATCTATCTATCTATCTATCTATCTATCTATCTATCTATCTATCTATCTATCTATCTATCTATCTATCTATCATCCATCTGCTGTGAAACAGTACTAGTCATTAATTAAAATACATAAATAAAGTGTATATAAACACACCCACACCAGTAACCTATCAATGCATGTAATGCAATGCCAATTAATTTTTGTGTTAGCTGTCCTCAACTAACCTCTCGTAGTGACTGTGTGCCTGAAAGAGTTACTAGAGCAAGCACTACCCTTCATCTTTTCCAAGCTGTTTTCATGCCTGTCTAATTGTAAGCTGGCAGAAAGCCACACCCTGTATAAAAGGCTTCTAGTTACTATGTGAGTTGTAAACGCATTCCATTTTATGTAGCCATTGGACATCAAAAGTGTCTGCAGATAGCATTACCAATTGAAAAATGTTCTCTGCTTTGCTGAGTTTTTTAAATGAAACCAAATGTGCTTAGCATTTACATTTAGCTTATTTCAATACATCATTCTAAATACAATGTTTTGTGTTCATATAAGTGTTTACTGAAAGATGCTTTGTGACACACCAAATAATAATAATCTGTAAAACAATAATCTGTAAAACATAACAAAATCTGGCCATTGGCGTTTGAAGTGTTTGGACAGGTGAGCACTATCTTTGCTGACACACAGACACGGTTGTGCAGTAATCACAGGCTTCTTCTTGGGTCCATGCACTTACTATTTATACTGTAATCATGCCGAACTTTGTGAGTATGTTTCACATTTACTTTTGCTTTTGTTCTTAATAAATTTGTCTGCACCAGGAAAGGAGCCCCTTTTTTCCCTAGATTTTGCAGTCTCCCTGGCTAGTTTGGGGCAGCATCCTGCAGACTTTCCACAACCTGTTTTGATTTTATACAGATTTTGTTTTTTATTATACTGTTATATCCTGGCTGAGCAATCCTATCTGGCACTTTTTTTTGTTCATATGAGCACTATCTAGCTATTAAAAGACCTCCCAAGCATTTATGTTTAAGCCTATAGCGGGCAGAGGAAACAATAGCACCTCTGATATACTGAAAAAAATATGAGCATATTAAAATGTTTTTGTACAGAGGCATTTCTGTCACAGATCATACATAGAGCAGTAATTGGTGCCCACTGTTTGACACACGTTAGAATATGGTCCTGTGGGTCCAATAACCATGATGTGTACGATTTTTAGTACCACTTCAGTACCAAGTTGAAAAACCTCCCTAACCAGATTACACCTTTGGCTGGTCCACGTGGTGGAAAACTTGGATTAGGGTTGATGGAAGGATACAGCCTGGCTCGGCATCATGATTGCAATCTGTTTGATTTACTAACGGGCAGAGAATACAACATTAATTTGCACTCAGTTTAGTAAATGAGGTGAAACTAAGTGAAAATTCACTTTGCAGAACCCCCCCCCCCCTCAAAAAAAAAATAATTATTTTATGCTCACACATAATTGAGTGATTGGAGTTAGCACAGTTTTAGCTCATTTATGCTAAATACTGACTCACTTTAGTAAACCTAATTTACACCTTTATTAAAGTAGGAACATACAATAAACATACAGCATAAGAGACCTGTTCGGGAGGGAAGAAGAACTAGTGTAAAACAAACTGCTAAAAGAAAGAGAGAGCTTTTTTGCACAAAGTAAGCTAGTAACTTGCTAAAAACATTATATTCCTCCTGGCTAGGGTTCACTTACAATGATTATGAGCACAATAAATAGGGAGCAAGTAAAGTGGGACTACCCCTGCACTGCAAGGGTAAAGTGCTCATTTTGGTCTAGGGGCAAAAATAAGGAAGATATACAGGGTTATTCACAAAAGGGTGAAGAGAAGGCAGGAGAAGTGAGGAGAAGTGAACAATCTAGGCCAACAATGGAATGGAAAAATTCTCCAATTCAGGTCACGTTCCACATCAGCTATTATGGCCTAGATTATTGACTTCTCCTGCCTTCTCCAAACTCTTCACCCTTTTGTGAATAACCCTGATACTCACCTGATCCTCAGTCCTGAGGCAGTCAGTGATCACCTCTCTCCCCCTCCACTCCAGCTGTGTTATGTCCCTTGGTGTCCTCACATCTAACAGACCTGCATTAGACGTGATTACAACATACGTACTTAGACCGCCAAAGCCCGGGGAAGAAAAGGCCAAGCAGGATTGAGGATCGCATACACTTTATTTTTGTCCCAAAACCAAACTGAGCACCTAACACTTGCAGCGCGGGGGTAGCCCCACTGCAAGGGGTTAATTTAAAAAGATCCATGAGTCCCTCTTTAAAGCTGATCAATGGTAAATTACTAACATAATCTTTCCTGTGAACTATGGATACATAAAACAATACATTGTGTAAATATTTATTTTATTATCCAGTCATGTGAAAAACAAATTCCTGTTAACCTATTTCATCGCACATGATTGGGTGTTCAAAATGAACAGGGATCTGCTTTTTACATGATTAGATAATTAAAGGGAATATTCCAACTCATTGTGTGAAAATTCTCAACTCCTTGAGTAAATCACACCAGTATGCACTTATATTTGCTACATTTTTTTAAATGATTATTCTTAATTTGCAGAAGGCACATCTAAAACTGTTACCTATCCAAGTTCAACAAAGCTTGCAATCAAACTTGTTCTGGCAAAGCCAATGGGTGTGGTGCAGTATGAATTGTAATCAGTGTTTACAGTTCTCAGATTTGCTATTCAATCAGATGCTGTTGGCACAGACCTTTATTTGGCAAAGTTTGAATAGAAAATTGTGTCCTGCGATACTCTCTGAAGGATAAAAAAAAAAAATTTGGTCTATAGTTAACCATGATTGTAAAGATGTGGATCCCAGAGATGAGACCTATTTTTTTCTACTCCATCGGCCATAATGTCAGTCAGTCAGTTAAAGTATTACACCAAAGGATCGACAAGACAACCAGATAACTAGTATTTTCAAAAGGAGAGCTCAGCAAGGGGATTATGTGTTTTGTCAGTAAAGGTTTTTTAAGCTTTTCTTTTTTTTGTTGCATTACTTGCATATCATATTTGGTGACAATTTGGTGACAAAGAGCAACCTTTGTTGTTTGCAACCTCCTACAAGATCTTAAATTTGAAAAGATATATGTGGTTGGCCATGTAAGTTGCACATCCACAAAACAAGTAGGGATGCACCGATATATTGGCGCCGAAATACATCAGCCGAAAATGGCACTTTTGGCATAATGCCGAAAGAGCCATGTTTCGGCCGAAACATCGGCACATCCCTGGTTTCTTTTCTCCCCGCTGGCCGCTGTTCCAGCGGGGAGAAAAGAAAGTGACAGCCGGCCGAGCGCTGCAGGACGAGAGCGCTGTGAGCGGCCAGCGTCTCTCCTCCCACACCGCTCAGCTGCCTATCATAGTCCGGCAGAGCGGTGTGGGGGCGGAGACAGCGCTGTCACAGGAGGCTGGGCTTTCCTCTCTACACCGCTCGATCAGCCTCCTGTGACAGCGTGTCAGAGAGAAAAGCAAAAATGTAGAAATGTCACCAATGAGATTGAGGTCTCTGTGTTCTCAATTTCTTTTTCTATTTTAAAAGGGAAATATCAGGGGTCTTTTTAGACCCCTAATATTTCCCCAAAGCCCCTAAAAGTAAAGTAAAGAATACAAATATTTAATAAAAAATTAATTAATAAATAAAAATAAATAAATATAAAAAAATTAAAAAGTTTATAAAAAATAAAATATTTAAAAAAATTGAAAAAATAAAAATAAAAACATTTTCGGTATCAGTTTCGGCCTGACATTTGTTTTAATTTCGGTTTCGGTTTTAAAATTTCCATTTCGGTGCACTTCTAAAAACAAGAGTATTGACTGCAAGAACCTTTTAGATGCTTTCCTCAGAAAACACAGTATACAGGGGAACAGGTAATCATATGGTAACCCATACACACACACACACACACACACACACACACACTCACTTAGGTTTAGCTTGATGGACCTGTGTCTTTATCAACCCACAAATACTATGTAACAATAATAGATACAGATGCTGCCCCTAATCCCATTCAATTATATATAGTTTTTTTCTTATAGTTTTTTTCTCATGCTCTATCGCTCCCATTACTGTGTAATATTTATGGAGGGTGTTAGTAATAAAACCCATCAGTATGTCAATAAAGCAAAGTTCATTTCATTATTTAATATGGCTACTTTTGTATAGATAAACTGAACCAACATATTAATTAGCTGAAATTGTAATGATTGCAGCATGACCAATACTGTGTTTCACAAATAATAAAGGGGGGGGTGGAAGGGAGTAGACATGTAGGAAACGCACAGCCAATGAATGTTCTTTAGATTACCTGAAAAGCACATATATACTACTCTTAGCTTCAAAGCCCATTTCCTGTAAAAATAAAATGTTGCAAAGCACTACACATCTTCTACATGCTACAATACTGCCCTCTGCATCCTCTTCCAGGTTAAATGATACCCAACAGCATACATCCCTTTTCCTCAGAGCCCAGGGTATCATGGACTACTGTCCTGGGAATGTGTTATTATACCAGCTTGGGTTCACAGGAGAAAGCTACAGAGATAGGGGCTTACATCAGTACATGCCCTCCTATTCTAAGCAGATTTCTGGACTGTGGACCATTTAAAACCAACCAGTGGCGTTTCACATGCCAATATACTCTTAGCAATCCCTAAGAGCAAATTGAATCATGCTCTGTAGGGATTTTTTGCCTTCCTCTGGATCAACTGTCGGTAACTGTGGTCTTAGGGTTCTGTTTATGGAGGTTTTAATTTATTTTTTCTCTATAGGTTAAACTCAATGGACTAACTGGTATAACTATGTTTTCTATATGCATCTCTTTTTCTTTTTATATTTTCTATTTTTTATATTTCATCCATTAACATTTTTTCTCTATAAAATGATATTAAAGGATATTACAAATAGCAGTAAATCTTCACATTGATATAACACAAAATACCTACAAAGGTTTGCAAGCAGAAAAACCCCTGAATGAAGCAATGAGTATTACAAGTGAAAAGCATGCATAGGAAGTTAGAAAATAAACAAATGTAAACACCCTGTATACTAATTACACTACACACAAAGATGAATACAAGTTATTTATACCCTGCAGCTGTTAATGTGGTTTACATTAAACTTAGACACCATTCAGCCATAAGTAATCATTTTAGTGAAAGTTATGTGCAATTGAAACAAACTACATTAACTGATTTTAAAAGTAATATGATTATACAAATAATGTAAGCATTTCATACATATGAATTATTTGTCCTAGTTTTCAATTAATGCTTAAAAGAAAATGCGTTCATTTTAGTTTAGTTTTGATATCCAGACTTTTGTATTAGTTTTTACTGAATAAACATTTGGGACAATGGCAAAATCAGTGCTCATTTGAAGCAACAGAATGTTTATTATACATGGATTATTAACGTAGAATAGCAAATTAATAGAATATTAAGAATAAAAGATCAATGGCATATGGTTTCAATTATTCACCTGTATGCCATTACCTACAAATCTGTTTTTTGCATTAGATTATGACACCATATTTTTTTTATAAGATAACATTTAAAAAATTAGAAACTGACCTTTCCAGCAGTTGACATTTCTGCTTAGTTACAGAGTTCTGTCAAATGAGAAAGAAGATTTCCAGGTTTTGTGTTCCTGTCAAAACTTCTGTGCTTCAGCATGAAACAGGCTCAGTTTAAATAGAAGGCATTCCTTTCAGTTTGATTACACCCCTTTAAAGAGACATACTTAGCAGCACGTGAGTAAATGCCCTCAACGTTCCAGAAAGCAAATAATCTTGCCAGGATTATTAAAGACAAAAGTTTACAGTAAGAGATGATCGAGTCCTACACTATTTCATTTCTGATAGGATTTTTGCAGCGTCATTCTGATCATCATGAAATGCTACGTTATACTTTACATTTCATGAAAACTTTAATGAATATACACCTTATATAATAATTAAATACTTGAACGTTAGAGAAAGGAACTTAGCCTGAATGTGTTTTGTGTGTCATGTGGCATAAACAGCATGGTTTGGTTTCATTTTAATTTAAACCTAATGCCACCTACTATAGTAATTTAAAAAAATACAGTTCCTAAAATTCCTAAATACAGTTAGATTTTTTTCCTGTTACTTTTCTTCATTATAGATCATTTAATTCAATAAAACAGATTTTTGTATAGGCTGTTATAAACAGCTTGCAACATCTTGCAATGAATGTGTAGTTAAAGTAGTCAAGCCTAACCAGTGTTTCATGTGGTGTAATTGTTTCCAATGTAAAAATACTTGGGATTTTGGAATGTTAGGCTAAATCTGAATGTTTTATTGCATTTATTACCTCTGTATTGTTTTTTTCATTTGATTTCTTATCATGATACATTTACTATATGTAAACACCACATATATACAATTTGTTTAAAATCTTGTTTTTCTTATAAACATTTAGAACACACCAAACGATTCTGAGGACATTATAAACTGTATAAAGAGACAGCAAAACAGCTGTTATCTCCTTTGTGGCAGGTTGCCTTTCACAAAACCTCGGACAGAGCAGTCCAATAAGAGATGAGTCATTTCTCTGACTCGTTTATATGTATGTGTAAATTTAATCTTGAGCTATTGAGCTCTTTATTTACAGTGCAGGTGCTAAGAGGAATATATGTCAAAAAAGCCTAAAGATTCACCTACTGGGTCCATAGTACAATATAAAATTTGAATATGCAATATTCCATATGTAATAGACTAAATATATATATTTTTTATTTTATTTTTTAGACTTTAATAGACTTT